CTGTAAAGTAAAATCCCAGGATGGTTATTAGCCTCTTTCATGAGCACTGTTGTTAATAAGTACATGACCTGCTTTGAAGTTAAAAGAAATTTGGAGTAAAATTTAATTAGACATGCCAGTTTTATATGTAGCGGAGTTTAAGAGAATTAGTTTTTGGTTTTGGTTGAAAAGCTTTTTGTCGATAGGCATAATGCTCCCCGATGATAAATATATTTCATTGTAATGTAAGGTTCGAAATTTTCAATACGTTTTACGTAAATCATCTAGTCTGTTATTGTAATGATAAAGTATATTCTTTCAATATATATATATATATATATATATATATATATATATATATATATATATATATATATAATATATATATATATATATATAAATATATATATATATATATATATATATATATATATATATATACAGGGTGAGTCATGAGGAACTTTACATACTTCTACCATATGTAGAGTCCCTCAGGGAGCATATCATGTGGCCACTAAAAAATGTCAACTCCTCTTCTTTATTAATTAACAGGGTGATTTGTGTAATTGACCATTTATTTCATTTTACTGTAGTGTTTATACGGCTCATTTGATTTTTTTAATTTTTGCATGATACAGTACACTACTATCAAGCATTCGACTGGTATTAGCTAAACTAAAAAATTCCAGGACTGGCTTTGGAAAAATTAATTTAGGGATTCGTATTAAATATTACACCCTGTATATATATTTTTTTAAATGCAATAAGTGATTTTCAAACTACATAAATAGCCAATGAAAACGACATATGCGACAATGTTGTCGCACTTTTATTAAATTTTTAGTGAACGATCAAATCTTACCAAAAATAGAACAACCATAATGAAGTATCAAATTATAAGGTAATTAATTTAAACAAATGTTATAAATTTCAAACATTTTAATTGAAATGATAAACTGAGTCACTGCACAACAAAAAACAGTAACTACTAACAATAACGAAGAACAATTTAAAAAAAAAACTAAAAATATGTACATAGTTATGATAAACCCATAAATTAGAACTGGAAAAGATACAATAATGGTAACAAAATAAAAATAATTCAAAATAGATTTTCGAAATGGAACCCTGCAGCCTGTACACATTTTTGTTGCCGAATTGTTAATTGACGTATTGAATTACGGATACTCTGGGGATCGTTTCTAATAGTATTACAACAATGTATAATTCTATCAATTAATTGTTGTCGGTTATTAATATTCACTGCGTAAACTAGTTGCTTCAATCGTCCCCAAATATGGTAATCAACGGGATTGAAATCAGGGGATCTTGAAGGCCACGAAATAGGACCTGCACGTCCTATCCACCTGTTGCCATAAACATTATTGAGATGTTGTCTCACTGCCAGTAAAAAGTGTGGGGGTGCCCCATCATGCTGAAAATACATCCCTCGGATAGCAACGTTCGCGTTGGCAAGCAAATTCGGCAAAATATTTTGTAGAAAGTTCAAATAGACCTGCCCTGTTAAAGGACCATCAAAAAAGTGAGGACCTACTAATTGGTTATTTATGACACCAATCCACACGTTAACCGAAAACCTTAACTGAGAACGACGTTCTCGAATAGCATGGGGATTTTCTTCTGCCCACACATGTGAATTTCGTGAATTATTTATCCCGTCTCTGGTAAATTGGGCTTCATCTGTAAATAGTGTCCTGTATAGCGTTGGTCGATTATTGTTAATCCATCTACAAAATTCCAACCTATCGATCTCATCTCCAGCATGTAGTCGCTGAACCATTTGAATGTGATATGGGTATAGATTATTTTTTTGTAAGACTCTACTTACTTTTGATTGAGTAACATTGAGTTCTCGACTTACTTGTCTAGTGCTTATTGTAGGTTCATAGTAACGGCGTCCATAATGTCATCTTCCTGCGCTTCATCTACATGTCGCTCTGTTGTTCCACTAGGAAAAGTGCCATTTTCTCGCAAATAATTAAAAACTGACCCAAATGTTGGATGACTGGGAGTTCGACGATTAGGAAATCTCCTGCGATATTCTCTACTAGCAGCCCTACCATTCCCATTACAGAATCCATAAACAAATATTATGTCTGCATATTCTGTGGTCGAAAACTGATGTGGCATTTTGAACGAAAGTAACAAAAGCTCTACCAAAACTAACACAATGTACTTAACGTAGATATGACAGAAGAAATATGTATTCTTGTACACATAAATAACAATTGATAATGACAATAATGACAATGGGTATAAAATATCAAGAAACGTCAAACGGTCAACGCCAACCTTCATTTTAAACTTTTTTAGATTTATTTTTATTTAGTACAGTTGATGCAATGTATTATTATTTGACATAAAATTTTAATCATTTACAATCAACAAAAACTAACACATACAAGAGGTTTGACTTTTTAATCAATTTAATTTATTATTTATCGAAAATAATGCCCCAATACGATCTATGAGTAAAAATTTAAAATTGAAAAACAATTGATTCTATCGTAGAGATAATACAAAGTGACAGTAAAGATGTTAATTTTCTACATATTAGATTATGTTGTAGGAACTCATTTTAATTAAAATGTTTAAAATTTATAACATTTTTTTAAATTAATACCTTATAATTTGATACTTCATTATGGTTGTTCTATGTTTTATAAAATACCTTGTGAATGCGATCAGTTTTATTTAGGTGAATCATCAAGGCCATTAAATGTTAGAATAAGTGAACATCAATCTTATATTAAAAATAGAGAATTTGATAGATCTCAAATCTGTGAACACGCATGGGATAATGAACATAGGGTTCAATGGAATAATTCAAATGTAGTCCTAAAAGAAACGGATGGTAAAAAAAGAAAAATCAAAGAAGCGGCTCTAATTATGCTAAATGAGGCCAATTGTGTCGCAAATTCCTCGGCAGAATGTAGTAGGATCTGGTTACCAATATTGAAAGAGGAAGTTATTAATAAGAAAATACCAGTATTAGTAAGTCAGTAACATATAGAGGATACATCATTTATGTTTTTTAAATAACGTAACATATAAAATCAGAATTTTGATGTTTGTTGAAGGTAAACTAAATTCACGAACAAATATTTACAATATCGGGATAGTATTATGAGGTTTTTTTCCTGGTTTTTCCCTCATAATTTACTATGGAATCACTAACAGGAGAATTTTACTCTCATCATGTCATGTGTTTGTCTTTTTAAAGACGAATTTCATGCTATGGTTTTTTTCTGACGGATATTCTCAAGTTAAAGTTGATTTCATGTAATCGAATGAACTATCTTATAAGATTGATGTTCACTTATTCTAACATTTAATGGCCTTGATGATTCACCTAAATTAAACTGATTGCATTCACAAGGTATTTTATAAATGCAATTCTTTGTCCTTTTTTGTTCATTGTTAGGTTTGAATAATTAAATCCTTATACGATAGAGCCAAAATTACTTGTCCTAATGAAAATTCGTTCTTGGAGGAGAAACATTTGTTAACATCTGTTTTATTAAAAAATGATTATCCTTTATCGTTTATAAATAAGGAATTTTCAACAATCGATCGAATAGAACAAAACAACTTAGAACGAGATCCTACAGCATACACAAGTGATAATATGAGGAAAATAACAATACCGTACATAAAAGGACTATCAGAAAAACTTAAAAGGATAGGAAATAAATTCAACATTTCAACAACATTCAAAACAACAAACACGTTGAGATCTATTTTGTCCAAAACCAAACCTAACAATGAACAAGAAAGGACAAAGAATTGCATTTATAAAATACCTTGTGAATGCGATCAGTTTTATTTAGGTGAATCATCAAGGCCATTAAATGTTAGAATAAGTGAACATCAATCTTATATTAAAAATAAAGAATTTGATAAATCCCAAATCTGTAAACACGCATGGGATAATGAACATAGGGTTCAATGGAATAATTCAAATGTAGTCCTAAAAGAAACAGATGGTAAAAAAAGAAAAATCAAAGAAGCGTCTCTAATTATGCTAAATGAGGCCAATTGTGTCGCAAATTCCTCGGCAGAATGTAGTAGGATCTGGTTACCAATATTGAAAGAGGAAGTTATTAATAAGAAAATGCCAGTATTAGTAAGTCAGTAACATATAGAGGATACATCATTTATGTTTTTAAAATAACGTAACATATAAAATCAGAATTTTGATGTTTGTTGAAGGTAAACTAAATTCACGAACAAATACTTACAATGTCGGGATAGTATTATGAGGTTTTTTTCCTGGTTTTCCCTCATAATTTACTATGGAATCACTAACAGGAGAATTTTACTGTCATCATGTCATGTGTTTGTCTTTTTAAAGCCAAATTACATGCTATGATTTCTTTTTCTGACGGATATTCTCAATTTAAAGTTGATTTCATGTAATCGAATGAACTATCTTATAAGTAAAGTCGTCCCAGGAGCGCAACTCAACAATATTGGCAATATCATTTTAAAGTCGTCTACTTGTCGACTGTCGAATCGAATTGTCAATATAAATGAGTCAGATAAAATTAAATTATTAGAAGAATTTTTCACTATGTAACAAAACAACAAAATTTGTTTAATTTACTGTTTGTATTTTGAGAACGATTTCCGAAGTGGAAATTGAAACGTCAATAAACGTATTTTTATCTTTAATTGTGGCTTATTCCCAGTTTAATAGTAATTAAAACTTTGCATCTTTGGGATTTGGTAATACGATATTTGGCTATCTCTATTCAAATTACACCATATTATAAAGAAGAAAATTGCTTCATTGGAAGTTGAGATAATAGATTTCTTTACGTATAACGATTTTAAACTTTAAAACAATACTATACCATTTTTTATTCTGTAAAGCGCTACTTTTATTATAAACATTTTTATCTCGAGCCTGTATTACGATCCACTTCAGACACATGGCTGAGACTCGTTATTAGTTGGAAATCCGATCGAATCTAATCTAACTTATCGTTTTGTTTTAGGTCAAAGATTTGCAGTTTATGAAGTGAAGCTCAGCGTAATAAAGTTTCTGTTAAAGTTTGAACTAATACAAGATCCTAACTTTATACCTCAACATGGGTTGAGTTCAATTCTCAAATCTAAAAATGGACTTAAAGTTAAGCTAAGACTCAGAAATTAAAACAGTATACAATTTATCGATCTATCAATCAGATGTCAATCTGTAAATCTGTATTAAAGTGAAAATTATATAACTTTTAGTTTAGTAGCAGTTTAATTTAGAAAAATTAAAATTTCTAGTACAGACAGTTAATACTAAAATAACCCTTGATTAAATCTAATTACCATTGTTAGAAGAGAATTAAAAATTTAAAGCAAAACAATACCTGGGTACAGGATACACTAATCCTGGCATGAATGGTGTATCCTAGCAAGAAATTTCAAATTTGGATAAAATACAACTCTAAATTAAAAAAAAACGACCAGTTGAATTTTTGGTGGTTATCTCCAAATGTTTTTAACCAAATAAATTATTTGATGATTAACACTAGATATAAAAATATCATCAAATCGATAAAGGAATACCAGGAAGCAGATGAAGCATCAAATCACAACCCCATTATTGCTAAAATAAAGATAACATTGAAGGAATTAAAAAAGATGCACATCCCCTACAATATAGACGTAAGCAGTCTAACCAGCAATGCCATAAAAGAAAATTAAAATTCCTAAAAAAATAGAGCTGAAATAACATCGAAAATATGAATAGAATGTGGATATCTATCAAGGAAGCCTTAGTAATATCATCATTAAAACATCTTGAAAAAACCAAACGTAAAAGAAAGGACTGGATGACAGAGGAAATCTTAATGCTCATGAATATCCAAAGAAGAGCGATCAACAAAAAATGCAAAGAAATCTAAAATAGACACAAAATTTGAAATGCAAAAGAAAACTGGTTTTCAGATAAGTAAGTAGAAATGGACAAACTACAAGAAAAATATGATAAACAAATTATGAAAAACAAAAACTACCGAAATCCCTTATTTGTTAGACGAGAATAATTCAATCGCAAATGACATCCAACAAAAGATAAAACTGTGAAAGAACTATATTGAAAACTGTTTTAAATATCACCGAGAAAAAAACGAGACGATACTCCGTTTCGTTAACAAAGTTAACGAAAAAGCACAGATATAAAAAGAGGAAATTCAAGAAATTTTGAATAAAAAAAATTAAAATCGGAAGAGTGTCCAGAAGTAATAACCTCCCAATGGACGTTATATTAAATAGGTAGACAAGAAATATATACACATTAAAAGACTTCTTCAATAGCATTTATAGAACTGAAAAAATACCACAAGCATTAATAATTTACTAATGTTTGTATTTTGAGAACGATTTCCGAAGTGGAAATTGAAACGTCAACAAACTCACATTAACCTTTAATTGTAGCTTTTTCCCATTAAAATAGTAATTACTTTAAAATGCCATAAGAAAATAGCTTCAGAACCTATATTTCATATTAAGAACTTCATATTAAGAAACCACAAGCATGGCTCAAATCATATTTATAACCATCCCAAACCAAACGCCAAACACTGCAATAAATACCGCACGATAAGATTTTTTTTAATTAGTTTGATGGTCTTGGCCGAGCCAATTAGCCAAACAAATTTAAAGACAAACAATTTTAACAATCAGAGGAATTTTTTACAATCAGAGGAATAAACATACAATCATCCGTACAATCTAACATGCAATTTTTAATAAATTACAACTTGTTTTTTTTTTCTGCGCTAAGACATAACCCGATTCAACATCTCGGAGGTTTACATCTTCCTTTTTATTTTTGAATTCTTTTTATTTTTTAATTCTTTTTTTTTATAAATAATTTTTTTTTTATTATTATTATTATTATTATCATTTTTAATAATTTTTTATATATATATATATATATATATATATATATATATATATATATAATATATATATATTTTCTGCTATAATACAATATTTACTTATATATAAGGGTTAGTTTCACGATAAGATTATTAAGTTAAATTTTTTTTTGAAAATCACACACTTGGATTCAGAAAAGATCTGGAACAAGAGAAGCATACTATATCTGTTTGCATATAATATATTGGCATAACTATACCTAGATGTAAAGTTGCATATTTATACTTTATTGTTTACAACCAAGAATTCAACAGAGTGAGATATGAACAACTTATACTTCTGAAACACAAAAACATAGATTTTAAAGACACACAAACCTTAACTATAACCAAATAGCTACATACTTCAGTTGTCAGAGACGAAAATGGCACTGAACCTCTAAAAGTTCAATTTTGTTAAGCATATAAATTTTTGGACCCCAAAAAAGATAAAAAAAATACTTCTATCTCCATGCTTCCACTAAACCCCCCTTTGTAGTGGAGGTGTGGGGGACGAAAATATCTATTTACCAAGAATCTCTGAACGCCACAGAAAAAATGTTTTAAACAAGAAATGTGGCTAAGATCATTTTGAACAAAAATGTTTATTAGCACTTTTTCCTTAGAATGAACCGTTCTCTCAGAAACAGCGCTTGAAGTGACCGACGATTTTAAATGTCAGTTACACGCTCGAAATTGTTTAAATAAAATTTGTATTAACTCGAGGGTAAAAATTAGTGTGTTTATCGAATAAAATCAAAATCTGTTTTAAAGGTTAAGGTATTTGAATCGCCGGTCGCTTTCAAGCGCTATTTTCTAAGAGAACGTTATTCATTCTACACAAAAAAGCTAATAAATGTTTTTGTTTAAAATTATCTGAGCTACATTTTGTTAAAAACATTTTTTTCTACGTCATACAGCTTCTTGGTAAGTCGTGAAAAACTTTTTTCACAGTCAACAACAAAATTGACAGTCTCTGACAACTGGACTAACAGTACAAATTTAAGGAAGATCAAATATGAAATAGACATAAAAAGAGGAGTTAAGCAAGGTTGTGTTCTATTACCAAGTCTATGTAGCTATACTCCGAACACATTGAAAATGAAAAAATATTCGTATTTTTAACCCAGTTGTTGCAACGTTTTAGTAAAACTTTAAACGCAATATGAGATTTCTTTCAGGATCCAAACCATTAGAAATATTACACAATGCGTGAAGTTCTAACACAATCACCATAACCGATCATCATTAATATTTCAATCGACATTTTTCACTTAAATGAACCATTTTTAATCAACAACTTATTTCTGTTAATTGATTTGGCAACAGTTACCTACTATCACCGTTTATTTCTTACTACATTGTTTTAATACTAAAAAAAAACATATTTACACAAGCTTATGTTTTTATTCTCATTAGACTAGTAAATAAATTAATAGGCTCACACATTACCAGGATGTGAACCACGAGGATTTTAAACATTTAAAGTAATTTATTAGATTATTATTCTCATTGGTCTTAGTAAATAAATTTACATATTCTTTGCTACTATAAAGTAATTTATTTCTCGTTTTAACAAACTTTTTCTACCAAACTTGGTATGTATGAATTACGAATATCTTAAGAAAAAAAGTTATTTTAAAATCTGCACAAATATAGGTTATTCCACGAATATACGACTGTTTGGAATTATTGCTACAACGAATATTTTACTGTACAAGTAGAAGTATGAAAGTAAATTGGTCTAATTATTATTCCATAAAAAAGGATCTTCTGTTACTATTACATATAAACTAAAATTATTTCAGTTAGTAGATGTTCAGATAGACGCAAAATTTATTGTGAAAATTAATCCGAAAATAACAAAAAAATTTACGTAAACGCTCCTACAAATAAATACAATGACCTCTATGAAGTTAAAATGTGTTCATCAGCCATTTGGGTTGGATTTCGGTGAAATGTAAACACCAAAGAGGCGCGCCGGGTATCTTTATTACTTTATTAGGTACTACAACGGTAATAAAAAGAAATATATTATTTTTAATATAAATAAAAAGAAATTGGCAGAACGATGGTTCAGAAACCAGAAAAAGAATCTAGTATTCCACTTTGTTAGTTTTTTGTTTGCTTTGAGTGGATATACTCTTAAAAGTTCCGAAAGTAACGGGTATAACATGGCGGCTATTGATAGTTAAAGTACCGAGTCATTACAGATATTAAAAAGTAACGAAAATTTACATACAGTTTCATAAATCGCCGACTGATTTTAGTTTTAAAAACAGTCCGTATAGAGGTGTCCGGTGAAGAGACGTGTCCGTTAAGAGAGAGTTTAGTGTAGTGTATTTGTTTGTAATGGTGATTAGGAGAATAAGAGTAAGAGTAAGTTTTTTGTTTTTTTAATACTAATTGAATATTCGACTAAATAAATTAAACTATTTAATCACTTAAGTATTGTTACACTTCGTTTAAATCACTTAATTCAAAAACCAACTTGTTTACAATACTAAAGTCAATGAGAGTAATTATACGAGTATACTTCAAAATCTGAATTACAACTATTCTATAAACTATCAATTCTATATTTAGATCATAACTTCATATTTAAATCTAAGGTGTATATCTGTCATAACAGTATTTTAAAAATGGGGAGAATTTACCATTGTACAATTCAGCACATTGGACCATTTAAGTCGACACCTTAAAGCGAATTTAAAACAGTCGTATATTCGTGGAATGGAGTATATATAGAAGGTAATGGGGTAGAATGCGAAAACGTGGAGGTGGTTCCAGTTTACTTTACTTAGCCTCTTCTACTCAAATCCGACTCTCACCTTCACGCTGGTGCCTCCTATTGGCTGGTGCCTCCTACCAAAACAAACAACCCAACTGGAGATCTAGTATCCAAACCCGGGTGGAAAGTTCGATCGGGAACTGACGAGTGCGGGTGAAACGGTTCTCCGGAAAGGGGTTGTGCTATGGGTCTGCGTTCCGTACATGTAAACATTTGTGCCACGAAACACAAACTATTGTCTAAGAACAGGACGGATATTCAATTTAAACGACACATACAACGGATAAGGATAATTGCATAAGAACGTGTAATGTGTTAAGTTGACATAGACCTGCAATAGCGACAAGAGTCATTAGACAGTTACAAAAATATAACATGGATATAACAGCAATAAAAGAAATAAGATGGACAACAACGAAAAATTTTTAAAATGGAAGATGGTATGGTCGGGTAGTGAAAACAGACATGAATACAGATGTGGATTTGTCATTTCAAAAAGATTAAAAACGGCTGTGATAAATTTCAAGTCAAATA